ATGAGAAGGGGAAGCGACATGGAGGTATGGAGAGGGGAAGAATAAAGACCTGGGACACGGGACCATCGAAAGAAACAACGAATTCAAAAAAATGACCCGGGGCCAGGTGATCACTTGCCGCCCTTGGCGGTGAGCCTCGCCCGCTCGATGGCGTCGGTACTGTTCTTGATGAGGATCTTCTTGTAGTCAGCGATACTGATATCCTGCCTGGTTAGGTTGACAATCTTCTTGTCCTTGACCTCCCACAGGTCCTCGGCGACCTGAGAGATGAGTCGGAAGTCGTGCGAGACGATGACGACACCACCCTCAAAGTCCTTGATCGCGCCGGCCAGAGCGTCGATAGAGCTCATGTCCAAGTGGTTCGTGGGCTCGTCGAGCAGGAGGATGTGCGGCTGCTCCATGGCCAACTGAGAGAAGACGACGCGGTTCCTCAGGCCGTCGGACAAGGTTCGGATCGCAGACGTTTGGTGAGATCCGGAGAGACCGAAGCGGCCGAGCTGTGCACGCCAGAACTGAATGTCCTTGTCCGGGAACTTCTCCTTGTACTTCGATTCGAGGTACTCGAGTGGGCTCTTGTCGTAAGGGAGTTGATCGGCCGAGTGCTGGGAGTACTTGCCCAGCTTGAGACCAGCGTGCCTCTGAACGCTGCCTTCGACAGGTTGGAGGACACCGGTGATGAGGTTGAGGAGGGTCGACTTTCCTGTTCCGTTCTGACCCACGATGGCGACACGCGAGTCCATGTCGATACCGAAGCTGAGATCCTTGTACAGGTAGTCCTCCTTCTTTCCGCTGTAGGAGAAGGCGACGTCGTTGAAAGCGATGATCGGCGGTGGCAACTTCCTGATGTCTTCGAAGTGGAATCGCAAGGGCTTGGGCTGCACAACGGCCTCGATCAGACCGGCGGCCTCCATCTTGTCAATGATCTTCTGCTTGGACTTGGCCTGCTTGACCAAGTTGGCGTAGGTACCGGCGCTGGCGATGAACTTCTTGATGTGGGCGATCTCCTCCTGCTGCTTGGCGTAGGCCTTCATCTGGTTCACCTCGTTCTCCTGCTTGGTTCGGACGTAGGTCGAGTAGTTACCACCGTAGGTCAAGAACTTCTTCTGGATCGTCAAGTCGAGAATGTTGGTGCAGACGCTGTCCATGAAGTCGGCAGAGTGCGATGTGAGGACGAGGATGTGGTTGTAGGTGGAGAGGTAGGCCTCGAGCCAGACGACAGCTTCGAGATCCAAGTGGTTGGTGGGCTCATCGAGCAGGAGCAAGTGAGGCTTGATGAAGAGAGCGCGGGCGAGCGAAACCCTCATCCTCCAACCACCGGACATGTCCTTTGTCGGCTTCTTCATCATCTCCTGAGAGAAACCGAGACCGTGCAAGATCATACCGGCCTTTGCCTCGAAGGTGTTGGGGTCGAGTTCCTCCAGCTCCTCATACTTCATCTCGAGACCGACCTCGTCGACCTCGTCGGCTACAGACATGTCTTCGATCTCCTTCTCCAACCTGGCGACCTTTTCCTTGGCCGAGGCAATGATGTAGTCGAGGGCGTTGACCTCGGATGGCTCTGCCTCACCCTGGACAAGGTAGATGTCAATGTGCTCGGGGATCTCGACGTCACGGTGGGCGAGAGCCTCGAGGAAGGTAGTCTTTCCGCAACCGTTCTCTCCGAGCAGACCGTACCTCTGGCCGTAGTTGAGCGAGATCTCAGCAGTGTCGATGAGAAGACGTCCGTGGAACGACATGGTGAAGTTCTCAATGTGAATGTCACGGCCGTGCTTGTCGCTGGTCAAGACACCGGAAGCGTTCCTCTCGGTGGCGAGGGCGAGCTTCTTCATGTCAAGCTCTTCGACCGACGTGTTTGCAGACAGGTTGGTCATTGGGGTGCTCGCCTCGGTGCCAGAGAGGGTGGTTCCTTTGGACGAGCCATTCTTCTCGGCCTTGGCAGCTGCCTTGGCGGCCTTCTCACTGTACAAAAAGGGAGGAGGATCGCGTAGAGAAGGGGGGCGAGTCAAGTGGAGAGAAAGGGAATGTCAGCTATGCTTTAAAAAAGAAAATCGGGTTGGGCCACGCATGGGCAGCTCGGAGGAGGAGGTGGGTGGAGAATGAGGAGGAGGAAGCTGGCGCTACTTGTGCGTACTCACGCTTGACGCTTCGCTTTGGATGCCGATACTGGAGGCATTATGGCGATGGTTGGTATGAAAAGGTGGGGGAAGGGGAAAAGGAGGTGTGTTGTAGGGAGAGAGAGACTGGCGGGATGAAGAAAGACTGGGGTGGCTTCCTGTTGCGGTCGTCTTTCCTTTTCTAGCCTCTTCTGATACGATTTGGCGGGCTTGTGGTGGGGGAAAGGTAGGGGGGGGACAAGCGAAGGTAAGGTCAGAACAGGGTGATGGTGTCGAAGGTGGAAGAGGAAATTCAGTATAGAGGGAGATGGGCAGAGTAGGGAGAAGCTGAGGAAAAAAAGAAAGAAAAAAAAAAAGGAAAGGAAGTCGAATCAAGTTCAAGGTGGCGAACGGGAAACTTTTTTTTAACGAATGCGAGAGCAGCCAATTCAAAACGTAAAAGGGGAGAAGAAGAAGAAAAAACGATGATCTTTACGGAGTTGTTAACTTTTGTAGTCGATTCGAGTTTGTGATCAGTCCTCTTCTAAGTAGCCAGCTTCCTTCATGGTGTACAAATTCGAATCCTCTCTCGCTGTCCTGACTTTTTCGAGATTCCTTTCTTTTTTTTTTGATTTCCAAACAAAACGAAGCCCTCTCCTCGCCTTTACCTCCTTTTAAAATCGCCTGTAGTACGTGAGTAAGACCAGCGTTGTCCTCTTGAATCCCCTAATCATCTTGTTCTCATGTTTGCCTTTAGACCTTGAGACGCACCGACATACCATTCTCATTCATCATCGCTATACCCAGTCCGATTCTGACACTGGATCCAAGCACGCAAAGACCAAAACACACACACACGAATGACAAGGACTCGGATCCCATCTCACTGTTTGACTTGTTTCTCAGCAGCCCAGCAGATTTCTCCTCTGAGGCGTCCAGATTGAACGAGTTGCTCATTCTTCGTTCCATTCTACGTTGGATTCACGACGTTTCCTTTCTTACCTTTTCTTTTCTTCTCCCTGGACTGTAGCAGCAATGGCATTGGTGATCGTGCAAGGTAGGGATCCTTGCCGCTTCGTGGGGGATGGGTTGGTGACGCATTGTTGCAGAAGAGGAGGAGGAGGAGGAGGTGCACAAGATCAGATGCATGACCACCAAGGTTGGGACTGGGCTTTCCCCTTCGGCGTTGCTGCGGAACTACATTCGACAAACCGGTGATCGAGTCAAGTCAAGTTTCAAAACCTAGCTCTCCCCGAGTCCCGCGAAGGTGGTGGAGTGGATTACATAATCATCGTTTTTCTCGGGTTGGGTGGTCAGTAGCAATTCTTAGTAGTCACCTCGTCCCTTTCCATCCACCTCCGCACCCAACCCATCACTCTTTCCTCCTTCATCCCAACTCCCCCTTCTCACCCTAGGTCTGTTTGAGCCACCCGACCGACCAAAGACGAGCCCAGCATGTTCAAGCCAACGCAGGCACTCTTTTCCAAGGCTAGCAGGCTTCCCTTGAACTCGAAGAAGGGTAACAAGGACTTTTACAAAGGTTCGCCCTTTCCCCCAGTGACCAGTTTGATCCATCCCTCCCCCCATCGGCAGTAGATTCGGAGGCTGACGGATGGAAAACCTCCCTTTTTACCCTACGCTTCACCTTACGATTTCCTCACCCTTGCTCTTGAAATCCTTTTGACCCTCACCTGGACAGGTACGAGGACGGGCAACATCATGATGAGGAAGAGGATAGCCACCTCGGACAGGACGGGCAAACAGCTTTACGACAAGAATGGGAGGGAGATGAGCTGGACCAAAATGACCAACAGGATCGACGAATCCAGGGTCCCCTCCTACATTGTGCCACCTGGGCTGGCCGAGACTCCTGTGAGTTTCTTTTACCACTTCCCCCTTCATCCCCATCCTGCCCCCCCTCCCCCCTCCCCCCTCCCCTTCCTACCTTCTTGCTTTACTCTCTGTCCCTCCGATCGAAACTACGTAGTAGCCTCACTTTGTTTCGGCGAGCTTCTCAGAGTTGACCAGCCGCGACGACTTCTGACACGTATCACATCATCCACTTGTGAACATCCTGCCCCAATCAACCTCCTTTCCCGCAACTGTTCCAGCTGAGACCGTACGTCTTCATGGGGGAAGCCCTCGAGGGCGGAGTACCGAAGAGACCCGATCCCGGCATGCCTTCCTATCCACGTATGGGCAAGGAGGGGTTCAACGGCGTGTATTACAGAACCATCGTAGAGGAGATGCTCGCCAAGAGGGCGGTCAAGGACGAGCAGATCAAGGACGGTCTTCTCATCGATGACAAGTCCAAGAGGTGATCTTAACCACCTCTCTCGATAGCGTCGCTCAGAGAAACCAGACCCCTTCTTCCTCATCCAACTCATCCACATCACGGCCTGGTGACCTTTTTTTCATCCTACTAGAAAGGATGAACGAAGCAATGATGGAGAAATCGGAACGCAGGCTTAAAATCAAATTTTTTTTTTTAAAAAAAATATATGAGAAATCGAGGAAGGTGGACAAGAGTTCGCCCGTCGCTTTTGAAAGACACCTCTCCCACAATACCCTGACCGATAGAGGTGTTGAAACAGGGTGCCACTCCTTTCCCTTTTTCCCTTCCCTCAGCCACGACCAATGCAAGCCAACCGCCCACCTCTCCCTCACCGACCCGCATGTATAAACACACAACCTGGACACACATGCCAATCTTGTACATTAGCCTGACCGCTCGTAGTGGACACTTGGGATCAGAATCGAAGGTCTTCCGAATCCAATAGAACGAGGTCAGTGACTGGGTGAAGGGGCGGAGGGAGGAGGGAATATTTGTGAGCGTGAAGATCACGTGACAATATCGTCATGAGAAAAAGAAAAAGTTGGAGGGGAAAAAAGAGGGCAAAAATGATGTGGTACCACTGGGATTTGAACCCAGGATGAATAAGGGGGAAACACTTAGCTGTGTAAGCAGAGAATGTGCTTGAATCTTACGCCTTAGACCGCTCGGCCATAGTACCGCTTGTGAAAGCAGGTTTACACATCAATTATTAATGTGGGCAGAGCAAAGGTCAAGATCGTGTTCGATACTTGACATTCACCCTAGACGAATCCAACCTCGAAACAACCATGACATCCCAAAGACGAGTGAGTACCTTAGCACCTCATTTTTGATTCGTTTTCCCCTCATCCTTGAAATTTCTTCCACCCCCCTCACCAACGCAGTAATAGATTCGATCGGGCGAGCTTCCATACCATGTGCCGCCTTGGTCTTCTCCGGAGTCGGAAAGATGCGAAACCTCTCCTGTGTTGATTCAGGCTGACGGCATTCATGTATTAGTTTTTCATCGGGATTTGGGTTATCGCTCCTTGCAGCCTCTTCAATCTCGGGGAGGGAGGGGGAAGGGAGCTTTTTTGTGGGTCTGACCACCCACAACGATCTCGTTCGTGTAGGATTCATCCTCTCGTGTCGATTCACAAACGAGGGACACGATGATCTGATCCTCTCTCCTGCACTCTCGTTCTCACCCCCTAACGCCTTCCCCCCCACCACCTCTCTATTTGTCCAGGCAAGATCTCCTTCCTCTGCCTTTTTTTCCCGAAAGAATCTCAGACGAATCGCATCCTGAAAAAAGGAAGGAGAAGGATTTTACGAGCGATATCGTTACCGCACATGCATAGAGCACATGGATGGTATGAACCTCGAATCTTCACTTTTATTCACAACTTCGAATCCATGTCGAGCACGAACTTTGCGAGGTCGACCGTTCCTCATATGATCCTTTTCATTCATAACTCGTCATCGAATCTATACAATCTTGCCTGCCAGTTCGGGGAGTTGGTCTCCTGGAATGAAATGCCTCTCGATACCGTCCTCTGTGATGTCGGCCATTCTGATCGTTCCTCCGGAGGACCCGTCACGACGCATGGCAAGAGACAAGGCTATATTTTGATCAAAAAGACGAAGACAGATGATGGGGGGGGGAAGGTGAGGATCAGCGAGGAAGTCACGATATTGGAAAGTGTGACCATCTTCCACATGTGCCTGAAGTAAAGATCCATAGTCTTCTCCGACCTCCCCCCTCCCATCTTACCGGTGCCGCAGCTCGAGATAAATACGTACCGTTCTTGACAAATTCTAATGTTTGCTCCTTCCCCCATCCTTCCTTCCACGTGGCATCGCAATAACCGTAGATATATGTCGATCCGGAACCTGCATTCAGAAGTGGGGTTGTGTCAATGTGTCGGTTTCCATCGATCACGCGTGTCAGTCTCTTCACAGCAGGACAGAGTGCCAGGTAGAGCAGTGAGAAATGAAGGAAAGGGGGGGACGGTAGGCAGAGTACGACTGCACACGGAGAGGGAAGAGAAGGAAGAACTCACCGCCGATGGCCCAGGGCTGTTCGAATATGCCACCTCCCAAAGGAATATTGAATACCTTGCCGCCGTTCTTCTTATCCCAGCCGGCGACAATGATTCCAGCACTAAGCCTGTCCTTGTTCTGGTAGACCAGATCCTGGAAGAGATTGGCTGCGGTCTTGACGTCCGGCTGCTGGTCCATGTTGACCGAGTAGAGGGAGAGGTAGTAGGTGACAATGTCGGCTAGGGCTTGGGTGTCTGCGGCTGATCCAGAGCGGCAACAGTAGATCCGATCGGAGAGGTGGGTGAGCTTGTCGGTGACTCTGTTGGCGATGTACGAGCCCATCGTGGTCCTGGAGTCAGCTCCGATAATGACACCCTTGTCGTAGGCGACGGCCATGATGGAGGTGCCGAGGTCAACCTCGCCCTTTTTGAGCCTGTTCATGTCGAGCGCCTCCATCTTTGAAGCCAGAGGCGGTTGAGTGGTATGAGTTAGGGAAAAGAGAGGGGAAGCGGGGGCTCTTTCTATCTACGATTTATTCTTTGTGGTGGAGGTGCGGTCTCTGGTTCAAAGTTGGCTGGAATGCTGGTCACGGGGAAGGTCTTGTCTGTTTGTCTGTTTGTTTGTTCCTTTTTCTCTGCCGCCTTGCTTTGGTACGTCCTCGAAGACACCAAAGTAGGTCTTTTGAAGGGGCGAAGGAGGATATGGGGAGATGAGTGAGCGGAATGGATTGGTGAGAGGTGGTGAACGATGATCGCCTTGCCGTTACTACTCTTCTTGTGGAGCAAGAGGGGGGGGGGCCTTCTCCTTTTTCGATTTCTTTCCGCTCTTTCGTTTGTAGTCAGTACCTTGTCAACGGAAGGAGGCCCAACTCTTGAAAGCAACACGCGTACTCACCTGCGAGGGATTAGGTGTTGCCTGGCCCGATCACCTTGTGGCGCACCAACCAACGCAATCCCAATCCATATTCCACACAGCACACACACATCGACAGGAGCTCTGGACACTGCTACTCTCACCCGTTGCCACGGCCAGAGGATTCGCCACCGCAGAAGCGCACAGGGAAACCCTGCGAAGTAGGAAAGAGAGAGCCAGATTCGAATCCCGAACCTTTCATCAAAAGACCTTGACGACGGCAGGATGGGGACAGCGGGAATCGATCAAGTGATTGGTCACCCAAAAAGGAGTTGAAAGAAAGTGTGGTGTGCCTGCTTGTGTGATTGCCCGTGTGTGCGGGTAGCGCTTCGTTTGGCAGTCAAGGCGGGAGAGAAAGCGGGGGGGAAAGGGGGGAAACGTTGAGTCAAAGAAGGAGAATCGTAAGTATTCCACTGTACAGTACAGTACTGTACAGTACGTACGGAGAGTGCTTGCAGTTCTACACCAAGACAGTTGTGAGTCAACACCTGCGACCACTTACGTGAAGTTCAAAAGTCGCAAGTGGTAACACGCCGCTCACGCTGTAATCAAAATTGGCGAGGAAGGAAGAGGGAGGAGACCAACTCGACCCAGCCGCCTATGTGTGTGTGTGATGTACTGCGACTGTGCACGCACGCACAACACGAACTCACCATTCGCTTCGCTTACTCCATTTATCACTTTCCTCTCATCCAACCCGAGGCAATCGCCAACACAACCCTCTCTCTCTCTCTCTCACTCACTCACTCACTCACCCACTCCCTCCCCCTCTCTGTCTTTATTTCTCCTCCCAACCCCACCCCGCCATCCCCTTTCCGCGACTCGACTGCCACCTACTCTTTCATCTAGAGAAGCGAACCCATTCGCCAAGCTAGCTTGGGATATCGACCTATTAGAAGGGAAGACAGAGGAGCAGGAACAAGGAACGATCAACGTCCAATCATGGGTCAGCAAGGATCTCAGCTCCTCTCCGAGATTGAGCAAAACTCGAACTTTTCGGCCAGAGAGATTCAGAGGCTCAAGAAACGCTTCATGAAGCTCGACAGGGATGGCTCGGGCTCAATCGACAAGGACGAGTTCCTTCAGATCCCCGCCATTGCAAACAACCCCCTAGCCCTAAGGATGATAGCCATCTTTGACGAGGACGGTGGTGGAACCGTCGATTTCCAAGAGTTCGTCGCCGGTCTGAGCGCCTTTAGCAACCAAGGAAGTAGGGAAGAAAAGCTTCGTTGTGAGTGTTGTCGTGAAGGGTTGCGGCGCCCCTGCGGGTCCCTTTCCCCCTTGTCTCTCTTGCGCTCCCTCCCTCCTCTTGTAATACATGTCCCTTTCGGACATCTGATCGAGGGTAGGGGAGAGGTGGCCACGGATCGCGTATTGTTTCCATATCGGACTTTCACTGAGCACTCTTCCCCGGCCTCTTTCTTGCATGATCGCCTTTTCATTCCTACACTGCTCTCCTTCAAACCCCTCTCAGTCGCTTTCAAAGTCTACGACATGGACCGGGACGGGCTCATATCGAACGGAGAGCTCTTCTTGGTGCTTAAGATGATGGTCGGGAACAATCTGAAGGACCAACAGCTGCAGCAGATTGTTGACAAGACCATCATGGAGGCTGACAAGAACGGCGATGGAAAGCTCGACTTCGAAGAATTCCAGGAGATGGTGGCCAACACGGACGTTGCCAAACAGTTGACCCTAGAGGTGAGTTAGAGCCTAGTTCTCTTCCCTCGGCCTTTTCTTCTTCTACTACTAAACATCCAGCTTCATCCAGCTTCAAAGATGGTGACCGAATTCTGCTTTGAGGCTACCTGTATGCTGACTCTTCTCTCCATGTCCTTGTGACATCTCCGCAGGATCTCTTCTAACGATGCAATCCTCACTTGGGCTTCGGTCTCCAAAATCACTTCATCGAACAACTGCTTCCTCCCCATCAAGGTTTCGAAACAAAGATTGCCATTTGGACTCCACTTATACCAGACCAGGGAGATGAGTCTGCAGCCCTCCTGGTCTCTAGGTCAGATTTTATTTATGTCCGCCCCCCCACTCCTCTTCCTTCTCGCAAATCCGACGTTCACTTGCCGCTCGTTCATTCAAACTCTTCACACCCGTCCCCCTTCCCCGCGGGCTGCCGCTTGAGGTGAAGAACCCATGCCCATCCAGTCTTCCGGCTTAAAAAGAAGATTTCCTTCACGTTTCCCTGATCCACGCCGCCTCCAAGCAAAGATCGTTCTTGGCCTCGAACGGCCTCCCATTCCGTATTCTACGCACTCGCACCCGTGTCATCCACAGTCAACATACACTAGACCCCTTTCCCCCCTCACTTCCCGCTCAGCTCTTCCCACGTTCTAGCTTGACAAGGATCTTCTGACAATACTGTAGCTTTACGAAGGTAGAAAAAAAAAAAAAAAGGAAGAAAGAAATACATCAACAGATGGGTTTCGTAAAGTCAAGACCTTTTGCTTCCAGATTATTTCACTACGACCCAAGTTTCAGTTGAACGGAGCGGCAAAGGGAAGAGTAATGAAGCCGATCCATGGCCAAGCTTAGACGATCTGTTCTTGACTCGAAGATTTGAAAAAGGGAAGATGGAAGGAAGGGAGGAAGAGAATAGAGGAGAGTTGCGTGCTTGTATCATCTTTAAAACCCGCCGAAACGGACCCTTGCGAGAGGGGTCATGAGGTCGAGAAGGGGGGAGGTTCCGCTCCTTCTTTTTGAGAGGGGGAAAGGGTTTCGAGAGAGAAGCGA